AAAAAAATTGGATATGTTGTTATCTTTATATGTGTATTTTCTAGACTTTTGTATTCTGAGCACCTCTGCAAAAACATGATACTGTGCGAGGTGGTGAAAGTTTTGAATGATGATAAAAAGATTTTCTTTTTGGGATTTTCTTTTTTTTTTTTGGGTCCCCCGCCTCGTGGGAGACGGCCACTTGTTAAAAAAAAAAAAAAATGGAAGTTTTTATTGCATTTATGATTTAGAAAAGCATATGAAGAGTGGAAGAGACAATGTGGAGATGTTGCAAGTTTAGGAATAGGTGGTAATTTACTAAATGCTGTAAAGAGCTTCTATAGGAAGTGAGGCTCAGTTGGGGTTTAGAAGAGAGGAAAATATTTCCCCCGGAAAAAATGGGTTTTAGACAGATGTGTAAGTCACCAGGTTTTTTAAATAATTTATGAGGGGGTTGTAAAAAGAAGTAAATGCTGGGGTGTTCGGGAGGGGGGGATTAAATTAGGGGATCAAATTAAAAAGGGGAAATTACACTTACTTTTTGCAGATGATACGTGCTTATGGGAATTCCAAAGAAAAATTTGAAAAGGTTAGGGGAAAAGTTGAGATGTTGAAATAAAAAAGTTGAAAGTGAACTAAAAAAGAGAAGGGTGAGGGAAATCAAATTTTTAGATAAAAAAAAATTTGGATATAAAATTTGGGGGGAGGAGGATATGGAAGAATAATGTTTTCAGATACTTTGGGGGTTGACGTGTCGGCGATGATTTATGAAGGGTGAGTTAATCATGAATTGATAGGGAAAAAAGGGGTGGTGCTTGAGGTAAGTGGAGCAAAAAAACGTTATCTAGGGGGCAAAAAAGGGGAAAGTATGAAAGTAAGTAGTACCAACACTCTTATTTGAACTTGGGTGGTAAAGCAGCAGCGAGGGGAGGTTGGGGGCAGTGGAGATGTCCTGCTAAGGGGGAATGTGTGGGGAAATATTTTGCAAAAATTTGGGGTGTGGAAAATTTGGAGAAGGTGTGGGGTTAAAAAACATTAGTCAGAGGGCAAAGAGGGGTTGTTGAGGTGGTTTGGTCATTTGAGAGAATGGACAAAGTAGAATGACTGGAAAACTATAAAAACTATAGGGGGGGGAAAGAGGGGTAGGGTCTTTCCCCGAAAGGGGTTGAAAGAGGGGGGAAAGGAGGTTTTGTGGGGGAGGGGGTTGGACTTCCAGCAAGCGTGCATGAGCGTGTTAGATAGAGTGAATGGGACGAATGATACTTGGGACCTGACGATCTATGGGTGTGAGCAGGTAATATTTTATGAAGGGGTCAGGAAAACCGGGTTTTTTCATATAGTCGACTTGATTTCCCGGAAATGGGAATACAAAAGCCTCACTTTAAAGGGGGGGTTTTGGGGTATTTGGGAGTTTTTGGGGAATTTTGGTATCTTTTTTAAAAGTGGACCCCCCCATAGCGCCTAAATCCGGCAAGAGGGCGGCTGTTATGCGAAATGTTCGGTATGCGAATTTAATTTTCCCCATAAAAAAATGGAAATCAAAATTTAAACCGGCAAGACACCCAAAAATAGAAAATCAACACCATTCAAAGCAGATTTAGTATACTCAGAACTGTAGATTCTGAAGTTTTAGAAGTACAAACGAGAGATTCTTAAAAGTAATCAATAAAAAAGTTGTAAGTATATCCATATTGTATCAGAAATATAATGCAAATATATCACTGCAATCTGTCATAAACTAATCCCTTTGAATATCCTGAATAAGTTGTTGCAGTATATCTTTATTAAAGAGTAAAGATTAAACATACTGTACAAACAATGGTGTTAAATGTATGACACTGCAATGATGATCTTACTTTAGGGTTAGACAGTTTATATAGAAACAATGATACATTACTATCTTACAATGTAAGTACCACAGCAGGATTTTATTTTTGAATGGGATTTTGAAAATTGAAATAAAAATTTGTAAAATAATTTTTTTTCAGAAAACATACTCTAATCAAATTAACATGAATCAAAAATGTACCTAAACTATTTCAGAACTGGACAAGCTTGTGTTGTCATTTGCTGCATCCAGTCACCTGTGTTGAACGCATCAGAAGTTTAGATATTGTTTTGTCTTTTTTGCAGATTTGGAAAATATTATACTCTCAGGTTCTAGACAAAATAAGCAACATCTGGTGTGAAAAGGAATACAGTTCCCTTTAACCACTTCGCAGTCTGTCACACAGAACTATGTTACTGAGGCCAGGGTTTCTGACGTAGTTCTACATTATGAGCTCAGCTCACTCAGAAAAGCTGTGAACAGTGAATTTTAGGCATAGATATGAGAGAATGGGTCTGTCACTGAGTGCTTCAATCATAAAAAAAAATTTTCCCCATGGATGTGAAAGATGGCAAGATAGAAACCTTTGACCATGTGTATGGTTTTAAAACAGCAACTTTGCGGTGTTCATATTATGTATCATTTGATAGAATAGAAGACATATTACTGAGAGATTATTTTTATTGGTTTCAGGACTGGAAGTATCTTGAAATTGAGCTCAAAATAATAGAAGTATTAGACTTTTGCCAAATATTCCAGAGGATGTATTAGGCCCTTCTACAACTCCCAGTTATTTCATGGGTTTTTAATAGGTCTAATTCAATTATTATGACACTAGAAACATTGAACAATCTTTCCTAGTTATATTTTATTATCTGAGAAATAGATTAAATTTTCTATTTTTGTGTGAACACAAATTAAAAATGGAGAGCAAGTGTAATATAGGAGAGACATGTTTATGGATTTTTTTTTTAAATTGGCATTTAATTTTGTGTGAAATAGGTTAAATTACCAAATTCTGATCACTTTATAAGGTAGTTGAAATAAATGAATGGTTGGTTTCTTGTACTCAGTCGAAAGAATGAAATACATACTAGTGAAATAGCTAAGAATTTATCGACTAGAAACAATGAACTGACTGAAAATTGGACTCAAAGTGGCAAAATTACAGCTGCATAAATTGTGTCCGAGAACTTCTCACTTTGTGTCCATCCCAAATTTCATACCTTGGTGTCATTACTTAGAAAGATGATTCTCTACCATTTTCAGAGTTGGGGGGGATGAAATCTAGATATTATGAGTATGTTTTCATTTTAGGAGTCCTGGACAGTTTTATGGGTAAATATTAACAGCAATATGATGTATCAACACTTATCCTTACATAAATTTTAATTCTGAAGAGAATTACATAAACATGTAATTACACATGAAAAAATCCACTACTTTGTTCTGTGAGACTCAGGTGTAATTTGCTGGATGCTCCTCTTATCTTTGGTGGTGTCACTTCAATCTCCACTCAGTTACTGCCTGCCAAGAGATAAATAAACACATTATCTTTAATTAGCATGCCAAAATTATACTTGAGATGGCACAAACTTCTGTAACTGAATTAAATGAAAGCAGCATATACTGTAACAAGAATTACCCAGCACTACAATTAAATACATGTATATGCATATTACAAGTTACCACTACCAATTACAGTACATATACAGAAATGTATTAAGATATATTGTACTAAGATATATTATTTACACACAAATAAATTTTTGCCCCAAAATCTAACAATTTAAATTTATCTTTAAAATTTATTTACAAGTTGACACTTTGAGACAGCATGCAAGAGCCTATTCTCTTCAAGAAAGCAGTCAGGAATAATTTTCCTAACAATGTACTAACAGCACTTAATGTACAATTTGCCTAACTGACAATACACAGCTTATGGCCTGATACTGTTAAGCCATTTTCTGTCTTGCATATTCATCAAGTTTACATGTGCAGTATTGCAATCATATGCTGTACTGCATTCTTGGTTCTGCATCCATGCAAAGTTTGTGTAAATATTTAACTACAGTAAGCAGCATCATGTGTGTTGTGCAATAAAACATGCTACAGGTCGGCCATCACTAATCCGGCATCATTGGGACCTGTAGTGTGCCGGATTACAGGCTTGCGCTGTGGATTTACACCATCTGCACAATTTCTGAGTCAGTATAATGATGAAATTTGAAATTATGCTAGCTGAAATTAGTGCCGGATTACTGATGGAACCGGATAACTGATTGCCTATTAGTGATGGCCGACCTGTATAAAAAAACTATATAAAGAACAATATGTCTCATTTTCCCAGAAACCAACATACAGGAGCCCACAATTCTCACATAAGTACAGATCCAGAGTTTTATGTCGAACAAGGCCACCAAATTAGAATACAATCTATTACAGTACAGTTTAGTACCTTGGAGTTCTTTTTCCTTCACTGAAG